TTGAGATGTTGATTTTGTTGCTCTCTAGTGACATGTTGCGGTGATGAGAAATCAAAATTGTTATCTAATTGGCAATCTTGTGATATTATCTAAATTTTAGATTTTAAAAGCGGGGCTGATATTGAGATATAGCCGGAGTTGTGTTTTAAAATTCTGACGAGGCTATTTTGAAACTTTCACAAACTGGAAGTGGGAGATTATTCAATCAAGTTGAAAAGAACTCGTAAATGCTTAAGTTTTATTCAAAACATTGTGGACATAAAAACAAACTTAATTCAGCCCGGAATCGAGAATTTAGGTATCTCGGAATTGCTTTTATGGGTCCATTCTTCGATATTACAGGGTCACTGTTATATTAGACAAGTGACCACTGGTCCCCGACATGAAAGATCCGTTTCGAAAGTTTACTATAGCTTATCTAAGATACTAATTTGACACTTTACTTAAAAGTTGAAATCGAAATACTTTAAAGTAAACTTTGCCCCGGCGAAGTCTACAGAGCCATAAAAACGATTCTACCCTGGGAACCAACAAACAACAAAAATTGAGAAGACTTTGTGGAGATTATTGTTGAATATCTAAAAGGTAATCCGTGACTTTGTGGGGTTAGAACATTGTATTTCGCTTGGTATATACTCATATAGTCTGCCAGTTTTAGTCACAGTAAATCAAGGTTTTTGACGTTATCGACTTTACTTTTCATTTTTTATTCCTACTATGTGAACGTGTGAGAAATGTGTTTAATTAAATTATAAAACCAAATGATTGGTAATCGAAATATCAAAAACGAAAATTTTTAACGAATAAAAGATGTCAATCGCCAAAGCAGCCCTTCTGTCGTCTTACTCGTAACAAATTAATCAATTAGGAAAGAGAACGCCTTTCTATTCTTACATCCCCACTTCGATTTGTTTGTAAACAAACTGCGTTGCCTGGTACTCGCCGTAGATTTTTATACTTGTTGGTGGATTCTTCTGAGGTTTAGAGATTTACGATTTGAATGGCTTAGTTAGGTAGATGAAGATACGCCTACTATCTATGAGGATCATCTCCAAATCTTGGTGAGTTTCAGTTTTTATTTATATTTTATATTTTTGTAATTTTGCATTCGATAGTAAAAGTAGCACGATGTCAACTTAGTACAATTAAGGAATTAGGTATTAAGTCCATTCTTCCAAAAACAAACAAAAAACTGGCTAACTAATCCCATACTCGACATGGACTGCTCGAGACGAGAGGCTGTGGTTAGCCATGTGATTAATGGCCAATATGATTAATGGGCTTTCCCTCTCACGCGGGATAAATATATAAATCATATCTTATCCTATCCTAGTTAGTCGCTTGAGACGTCATACTCGGAATGAGCTTTTATTTGAAATGCGTTTATTTTAACTATCAGTTTCAACAATCACGCCTTTTAAATTTTCTTGTCATTGTTGTTGGTCAGGCGGAATGTTACAGAAATATATTTGTGTTAGTTTGAAGCAGGACTCTTGAATTGCGTTTATTTTAATTGGAAAATTTGTAAACTATGATTTAAAAATTCGCAAACTCTTTTCGATGACAATTTGACTTTCTATTCAATTGTGTTCATGAATTTGTTTCTCTAAAATCTTTTTGAAACCCTTTAGGACGTGGAAAATTATTTGTACTGTATTGAAAACGCTGTTCTATCAATATCTACTCGCTATTATAGACCGAGGCTATGCCGAACCGATTAGGTTGTAAGTACCCCCGTAGTATGTGTACCAGGTTAAAGTTAGGCCGTAACTTTATTCCGATTTTCCTTATATTAGTTTTATTACGAGTTCGGGAACTGTCTGTCTTGCCAAAGTGAGTTTGTCGTAGGTTTCAGCCCCTTCACATAACTTGATGTAAAGTAGGCGAATAAAATTAATTACCTACATATTGGTACACATACTTCTGGAGCGACAGGGAATACCGCTCATTATTTTGGTTGTGTGTGCAGTATACTAGATTATTTCTACCAGTTCAGTGAGCCGGTATTCAAATGACTTCTGGCGGGAACTACCGAGCATGTGAACCAAGATAGCGGACACCTGAACGTAATGTGTGTACCAGGGTTTGTTAGGCCGTAATTTTATTCAAATTTTTCATATTTCAGTTCTATTACGAGTTCAGGGACTAGCCAAGTGACTCCCGTAGTATTTGTACCTAAAATTATGGCCTAAAACCAACCTGATACACATACTACGTTCCGTTGTCCGCCATCTTGGTTCGCATAGGCAAGTAGGGGGTACAAACACGTGACATCCAATCTAAATACCTAGAGTGGCTATTACGCGGCTAGGAACTGCTACGAGAGTACTACAGTATTACTTGGCATATTGTGGATATCTAAACCGCGCGCCTCGAGTACGGAACTCCGCGACATTCGCCCTATGAGCATTACTTATTAGGAATATCTTAATTTCGTACTTTACACCAGTGTTTGCAATTTTCAATGCATGAGGACCAGATACAAATAACTGAAACCGCAGGCCTCGCCTTCATTTAACATAGGCTTTCTAGAAGTTTCAGGCACAAAAATTTTGGTTATTGATCTTATGACATGCGTTGTTCGCTCTGCACATGCTAGCTGTTAGGGCATTGTAACGTCATAAGCATAGATAATGAATTGGACTCAAGTATACACTTGGAATTACTCACACGTACCAGATTAAGCTGAAATAAAAACCCGTTTCGTGGACCGCACATTTTTTTGTGGTCCGCATTTGGCCCTGGTTGCACACCCCTGCTTTGCACTGTTCTATACAGCGTTATATTATTAACTCGGTAACACTTTCTTTATAATATATTTTATTTACTATTAATATACAATCAAGCACGTTTTACAATAGAAAATTAATTACACAAATAAAAAAAATAGTAAAATAAACTTGACACTACAATGTAAATCTAGTAATTGAATATTGCTATATTTCATTGAGAATCAGAAGTTAACTAATCTATCGCAAAAAATAAGTCATAAAAACTTTACAACAATGCCGATTTCATAGAAATTCAACTAGTATTACTGCTAGGGCTGGGCATTTTCGAATACCTGATGATTTTCGAATTGAATCTCGAATAATTGGGGAATGTGTAATTGTATGCGACTCTTTTTTTTTATTGGACTGGGTTCTCCGGGCACATACGTTAATAAAAACGAAGAATCCTTCATAAGGAAAGTTCGTTGAGTGTTCACAAAAAAAGGAAACATGTTTCATCAATAACTCGCCAAAAAAGGGCCATGTACTGAAATTGCCTCAGTAAAAAATTGAGGGATTCACCTCGATTTTTTGCGGATAAAATAAAACAAGATGGCTTTGATTAAAAATTTTCGTCTAAGCTCGTTCCGAGTATTTTAATATTCGATTCGATTTCAATATTCAATCGGAAATGCCCAGCACTAATCACAGCTAATAAACGAAATACATACTGTATATATATACATATTTGGGTGCTCCCGAAGTATGCGAACCAAGATGGCGGACATCGGAACGTAACATGGGTAACAGGTTAGGGTTAGGCGATAATTTTTTTCCAATTTTCCTTATTTTAGTCCTATTATCAGTTCGAAGACTAGCCAAGAGCCTCCCGTAGTATTTATACCTAAAATTATGGCCTAACCCTAACCTAGTACACATATTACATTCCGATGTCCGCCATCTTGGTTCGCATACTTCGGGAGCCCCCATATTTGCCCAAAATAAACGGGGCGAATGAAAATTGCAATCTGCAACAACATACTTCTGACCACATGCCCTGTGGTTAAGGCTGGGAATTGAAAATTAAACAAAAGTATCTTCTGAGGGTGGCACAAGTAGCTAACAGTAAATAAAATTGATATTTAATAATTCACTTCTATATATGTATTATCACAAGCATTAAGTACTATTATACAGCGAACCTAATCGTTTTCAGCTGTTTGGAAATTTCAATTAATTAGTGCTATGTATTATTAACTAATTGCATGATTACATACAGTAATAAACTATAAAAATATGAACGAAAAAAAAGGTGGAAAAAAATGTGGAAAGATTACTATATACAGTGGTACCAATATATTGCCTTGTTATCGATATCAATATAATTATAAGAGCTATCAAAATCGTCTTGAAGTGTTTCCGGAATTAACTAGGTTTTTGAAAAACACTATAGGTCCTTAGGTGATTTATTCGATATTAGAAAATCGGTAATTATCTGATATCGGAATGCCGATGTCAGCTGATGTTGACTATTATAGGCCATATGCATAGGGGAATATGAGATATATATTTTAACTTGTGGGGAATGTGTTCAAAATTATAAAACTTTTAATTCATGATACAAAAAATTGGGGCAATTTATTCTGATTCGACACTAAAACTTCTATACGAAAATCCCGTTTGACATTGGAATTTATTCGGCACAGAGAGACGTCTATTGAAGGTTAAGAAAAGTTGTTTGGTTTCAAGGCAGGGAATTAGATTTGTTAGTTCTTATGGCAGTTCCTATGGAGGCCGGCAAAGTTTTCAATCGTTTTGATTCGCAACTTCTTGAAAGTCCCATTCCCAATTTGCTCTGTATAATTGAGGGCGGAGGGAGTAACATTGGCAGATAATAAGGCTTAACATTAAACGTTAAACACTCAAGCGATTCTCATCCTGTTGGTCGCGACCGCCACAGCAGTCCGGCTGGCAAAATTGTATTTTTATTCTTGTTCTACGGTTAAAAAAACAAAATAAATTTTGTGACATATATCTTCCAGACGGAGATAAGAGGCCATTTTGTCTTTTATTAGGGATTAAGGAGAACTGTGGTTCTCAATCAGTGGACGTAGAAAAATTATTGAGGGGTTCAAATATAATTTAAAATAAAAATATTTGTTAGATTGCCCGGTTTATTCTGCATATTAATAAATATGTCAAGTCGGGCGTGAGACTTAACAAATTCTAAAAAATGTCCACAGCTTAAAAAGTTTGAGAACTACTGTAATATAGTGTCATTTGGATGATATTCAAAATGACATTTTTTTTTTAATTTTTTTTTTATATTTTTTTTTTCGTTTTTTTTTTTTTTGAAGAATTACTTTATTAACAGTTTTTGTAGGAAACGTATATTAATAAGGTTTTCTTTATAAATCTATGCCATGGACAAGGGGGAAACGCAGGCTACTGTTATTAATTCAATGTGATATTATTTAGTGAAAAATGCGTTTGAAAATATAATGATTCGACATTACCAAAGTTTATTAAGAAATACTTTGACATAGCTAAGTTGGGCATGGCTAAAGTCTTTGGAAAATTAACTTGAGCATAGGTGAAGTTTTGAAAAAAAAAACTTTATTGTCTTGCAGGTGAACTGGCAGTAAACATTGGGCATAGACTCTAGTAAAATACTTTGCTTCAAGTTTCGGGAAAGCTTCAATCCTTGTCCATGACTTATTTTGGTCTAATTGCGTGTAATTCTTGGTCCGTTTGAACATCTGGGGCAACTTTCTTCTAATGAAGAAGACGTGATTCCTCGTCGACAACGTAGACAGACATTCGATGCGGTACTGAAACAACGAGCCTGTAAAATAAAAATTATAATTTGTTAATCGATTATTTAGTTGAGTGGCGTGAAGCCTTTAATACAGGAGAGGCAGACACAAATAACTGGGTGAAACCCCGGACCGCAGGTCGGTTACGAGTTCTTCCGCGATCACATTCACGCATCTGAAACAAATTCCTGACTCATTAATCCCATACCCGACACGGACTGGTAACCAGACGAGAAGAGGAAGTTCTTTTTAGACTTTTTTCTTTTGAAATAATTATGTAAATCCTATCCTAGCTCGGAGTTTTGAAGTCAAAAAATTATCAATCCGGTATCTATTGTGAATTTTTCCCCAATTCGGGTATGAATGTAACTTACCACAGCTGGATGTTGACCACATCCTACGCAGATCCCGCAGTTAGGTGGAACGTTTTCGTGTCTGCCGCATCTTCCACAGTGCCGGCTACAAATGAACTGCAGATTAGTCAAACAGAAAGAATGGAACAGAACTGGAGGTCAGGATAGCCGCAAATTTAATAGAACCCAAATCTTATGTGTCTCAGCTCAGGTGTGAAACACTGACAAATGAAATATATTCGACAGCTTATGTTCTTCAAATTCAAATGAAAGACGAAAGTCTACGCTGAAGAGCCAAGTAATTCACATTTCCAATTGATTATTCCAATCATTGTTGCTACTTCAGCGTGACGTTTACCGCGTTAGCGCTAAAGTAGCACCGAGTTATTTCTTATAGCTTTCGGTACCCCCGAAGTATGTGAACCAAGATGGCGGACAACGGAATGTAGTATGTGTACCAGGTTAGGGCTAGGCAATATTTCAGGTACGAATACTACAGGAGTCACTTGGCCAGTCCCCGAACTCGTAATAGAACTTAAATAAGGAAAATTGGAATAAAGTATGGCAACACCTTAACCTGGTACACATACTACGTTACCGTGTACGCTATCTTTGTTCACATACTTCGGGAAGACCTCGCTTTTTTACAGTATTTCTGCAATCGCTCCTTTTTGATGTTTGCTGAAGACATCGTTACTCAATAGTACCACTATTACAACGCCGACAAAGATCTTACCAATTCCAAATAATCATAACTATACATGAATCTTTGCATTTACATTTATACATGAATTTGCTTAAACAAATTGGTAAAGTCACTCGACTAAAATAAGTATGAAAGGTGGTTGCTTCGAATAACAATCATACTTTAATTAATTTGTTTACTTGACCATTAACCAAGTAACCCCTTCGAGACTCGGGTGCTTTTCTCCCGGGTCCTAACAATTACACGCCACTAAGAGTCAATAGAGAGCAAGAAAACTCACCGGCCTGTTGTTAATCGGGTTGGCCTGAAACAGAAATAGGATAGGATAGGATTTACATATTTATCCCGGGGGAGAGGAAAGGCGATAAGACGGCTTATCCATATAGCGAACCACGGCCTCTCGTCCGGTTAGCATTCCAAGTCGGGTATGGGATTAGTTTTACTGTATTGTTTGTTTTTCGGAAGCATGGACTTGGTGGTGGAGAAAGCCGTAACCGACCAGCGGTTACGTGAACCACCCAACGACGGCGAGGAGTCCAGCAATCCTCTCGCACATAACCATTCCTGCATGGGATTCGAACCTGCGAACCCACGCAGAGTAATTAGAGGTGCGGTGGCGAGTGTATTCCTAACGCTTAACCCGTTGAGCCACACCGCCGCGCCATGATATTAATTAGACGTTTCACTAAGTTAGATATGCCTCACATAGACAATTAGAAATGTGAGGTTTCGAAGTGACGCCTGGAGGGACCCCCACTACACCCGGGGTAGGCAAATGTAATTAGGTAAGCGATGCCGAACCAGAAAGACTTCAACCATACGATTTGCATATTTATCCCGGGTGAGAGGAAAGCCATACGACGACTTAATCATATGGCGAACCGCGGCCTCTCGTCCGGTTACCAGTCCACGTCGGGTGGGGATCAGTTAGCCAGTAATTTGTTTTCGGAAGCATGGACTTGATGGTGGAGGAAGCTGTAACAGACCAGCGGTTACGTGAACCACCCCTACGGCGCGAGTAGTCCAACTATCCTCTCGCACATAACCATCACCGCATGGTATTCGAACCTGCAAACCCGCGCAGGGTAATCAGAGGCGGGGTGGCGGGCGTATTCTTAACGCTTAGCACGATGTGCCACACCGCCGAGCCAATCATTCCAAATAAAAAGTAACATTTTACATATCACCAGATATTAATGGCTGCCTTTATAGAGGTGCCCTGTTAGAGTGAAAAACAGGAATGAGTGGTATTATAAAAATTTTACCTTTGGAATGGTACGGCTTTCGTAGATACCAGTGGGGGTCCGTAGATCTGTAATACAAAACTGGTTAAATCAACTGGAATTAATCAGTTATAAAACTATAGATGATATGAATAATTAACGCAATATATTAAAGTGGACTTTGAGTACGATTTTCATGCGGACCATAAATTTAGGTAAAGTAAGATCGACTAAAAAGTAAATATGCTCACATCTAGTTCTTCTATAGCAGGCTCTTCTTGATCTTCGATGCTAAAATAGGTAAACACCCAACTTAGATTAATTCGCTGCATTTGAAGAGTTGTGAAAATTAAATTTTTAGTATTTTAAGTGAAAGGTTGAATTATTGTGTTTTTGTGGTACTAACTACTTGAGGTCAAACGCATTCACTCAGAAGCAAAAAAATATATACTCTTAGCAAATCCAGTTAGTGTGCATCAAGACTTTCCAATCAACGAGCCATGTCTATTCTTGCTATCTTTTCACTTTTAATGGCTATGTCATATGCGCAATATCCTTTGTCTCTGAGTGAGTGGTCCCAGTGGTTCTCGTCACTTAAGTGACCGATTGTTATCTCGCTCAGAGATCAATATCCTTTACAAAAAATGCACTTGACCTTCCCATTATGAAGTATTTTTAAAAAGGTATTTACATTTCTAAAATATTAAAAAGAATATGTACACTTACCTAAACTCTTTGCATATTCTTGTCTTTCTCTCAGGAATGAGGCCTTCCAATAGGAGGAAACGTTTCTTTCTGCTAAACTCTTTCCATTTCCCATTTGACTCCATTTTTAGTCCAACAAGGTCCGACCTCACTATAGCTCTGCCTTCCTTGTCTCGGATCATTGCCGAAAGAGCGACATGTTTCATTGCATTTCTATTTCTTCCGGATAAGACCTCCATAAGAATTTTTTAGGAAATCTATCTTAACTCCAAGTATTCTAAATGAAATGAGTATATTGATTATCATATTCACAAACAAGCGTATTGGAAATCTTGAACAGCGTCATATTTGAGTTTTAAAATATGACGTAATAATAAAAAGTGACGTCATAAACAGCGACGCAATTATATCGCTTTAGAACGCGAGTCCAAATATTCCTTTTATTGTCTGAATTTATAAGCTTAAATATGTTTACGTAAGCAAGTCTAATACAGGCAAAGCAGAATTATCTTGAAAGGGTTGATGGTTTGATTATATTGACAAACCTAATAGGTATTTGGTTTATAGTTAAACAATATACAAATACTGTATAAACTTGCATATTTGAATGGGAACTACTGCCTTAAATTCACTGCCTATATAAACAAGTTCGGCGTTTGGCGGACCGTAACTAATCTGTACAACAAGTAAAACTATATTTCAACTCAAGAAATTCTCAAATAAAATGTGATATTCCCGTAGCACGTGAACCAAGATGGCGAACTCCGGAACGTAGTATGTGTATCAGGATCGAATTAGGCCATAATTTTATTCAAATTTTTCTTATTTTAGTTCTATTACGAGTTTGGGGACTAGCCAAGTGACTTCCGTAGTTTTTGTACCTGAAATTATGGCATAACCCTAACCTGGTACACATAATACGTTCCGGTGTACGCCATCTTGGTTTACATACTTCAGGCGAACGTCTGAAAAAATGTTTTGTGTACGACGGACATAAGCCGCTATCACCATAAGTTGCGCTATAGAGCCACATTTTACTCGCAGTATTTTTGTGAATCCACTACCCGGTAGTTTCCCTAAACGAACACCGAGAAAACTTATTGAAACACTTTTGTAACCAGTGAAAGGGTTAAGGGTTAAGTTGTTGAAAAACCAACCAATGTCAATTGACGCTAGAGTCAAATCATTTCAACTGAATTTTACGAAACTGGATTTGTTGAAATAAAACATTTTTACACAAAGACAGCAGACAGATTGGCAATATGCGCATAGCGATTTATGTATGTTTTACTAAAAGTAAAACCTATAAAGCTAACTTATTTTTGTATCACTCATTTTGTAATACAGCGTCCTTCCTCAGATCTATAATCCTTATCACATAGGGCATTAAGTTTATTCATATGAAACAAATAACTGGATAACTCAACGTTTTCTATACCATACCAGAAATGCAATGCTCATTGGGCGGAAGTATCGAAAGATAATTTTCATTTCGATTAATCTGAGCTGGAAGTCGGTGTTTTTATCGACTCGGCCGTACTTACCGTAACCGCTGCTCAGTTGCGGCTTCCTCCACCATCAAGTCTGTAACAAATAACTAGCTAACTATTCCCATACCCGACATGAGCTGATAACCGACCGAAAGGCCATGGTTCGCCTTATGATCGAGCCGTCTTATCAGTTTAGTTTTCGTTTTCGAAGAATTTATTCTCAACTAAAGCTTGTGTTATCTAATTTACTGCTCGCCGCCAAACCGTTTAAGAAATTACGATAATACATCATAAAAAAAAGATAAGTGAACGAACGACAGTCGTAGATTTTTATGTACTCCCAAGTATGTGAACCAAGATGGCTGACACCGGGACGTAGTATGTGTACCAGGTCAGCGTTAGGCCATAATTTCAAGTCCAAATACTACGGGAGTCCCTTGGCTAGTCCCCGAACTCGTAATAGAACTAAAATGCGGAAAATTGGAATCAAATTATGGTCTAACCTGGTACACGTACTACGTTCCGGTGTACGCCATCTCCATTTACTTCGGGAGTACCTATTTTTGTTTTATCTACCGCCTTAGCTTAGCTTAAACTTGATCGCCGTACACTCTCACCGCATGTGAATCCAGTTCTCCCGAAAAAACGTAAATTCTCGTAATTCGACTAGTGCCTCATATCAGCCTTTTCTTCTTCTGCACTGTAAGAAAACTCGTACATACTACTTAAATGGCACAGCATCACAAAGCTTGTTCCTCTATTTACATTTTAATTTACATTCACAACTATTTTATTATAAATTTTAAGTAGTACTTATCAGTACTATAAGTTATGCACGATGCAAGCAATAGTATTCTTATACAGATTGAATGTAAAAAACCAGCGAATAGTTCATTTTTTCGAATCACGAGACATTTGCCAACAGATGCGGATGAATAGTTTGAATGGCAATGTGGGACTCGTTATGAATACGCCCCATTTCCACCCATTTCCATCGTAACCACAGCGATGCTCACTCGACCAATTTACGCTTTTTTGTTCACACTGTAAAAAAAATCACTACGTACCAAAGCATGTAAAATCAGTGGAGCTTTTTCTTCCATTCCCATCTTCAATGCGCAATTATTGTTTTGCATTATAAATTCTAGGTAGCGTAGGTTTTAGCGTCGATTTTACCAGTTTTTATTTGATATGCAAGTATAACGAATTGATTGTAAAAAGCAAGTGAATTGGGCCTATTTTTAACAGTGTGGTCACTGTGGTGACATTCAATATATCAATATTTTGATTCAGAACTGAGAAAGGGTCTGAATACCACCATGTACATTACAAATTACACGCCTCCTATCCGCCTTTGTTTTATTATTACCTAACTACCTGAAAGAATAAAGAACAGTAAAAACGCTGGAATTGCGTAACAACAAACATTTTCTGATACTGAATGTTTACAAATGCACCAGCCTGCTGCGACACATAATTATTTACGTAGAATACCGCAAAATGGTAACATAATTCCTGTATAATTAGGTGGCCGAACAACAAATCAAAAAAAAAATTAGATTATAAACTGCCACTTTCTCAGAATATCTATGGTAACCGCACCGTTCCCCCTCCAATTTCATCACGTCACGTGCGTGACATGAGAATTATTTCGACGAATAATCTTATACCAGGGGTTCAGAAACATTCTAAGACACTTGGATGCTATCGCTGTTCTACTCGCGCTCTCATAAATGCAACGAATTGATAGGAAAAAGCCAGTATATTGTTCCCATTTTGTAACAGCATAACGAAATATAAAAGTATTTAAACGAGGTGGTTTATAACGTGAAGTGTGTTTAACGTTAGCTTGTTATATACTTTTCAACTTAGCGATCGCTGATATATCAATACGCCACAACAAAATTAACTCATGTCACATTTTTCAAAAATTAACATTTTTGATCTTCTGTCATTATGGACCCTGCATCGATGAGGCATAGTGAAAATTGAAATTTTCTAACTGAAGAAACCTGGAAAAACTGCAACTGCGCTCTCTACAAAATATAATTTGTTCATTTTGGTATAATTTGATTTCATCCTCAATCAAAACCATTGAAACGCCAAATGGCAGCATAATTAACTCATCCTTGGTATAAGATTATTCTGGCTAGATACGCCGCTCTGAATCACTGATACCCAAACTTTTTTTGACCCTTTAATGCTTTCCTTGAAAGCTGGACACACCCCTGGAAACAAGTTGCCTCCGATAAAAGCTATTCTCCAAACACGCACACACACACATACTGCCTGATTGAATTTAATCATATAATTAGAAGCGAATTAAATTTCTCGTTTCTTTTTAAAGTTCATGACCCCATATTTCACTCCTAGGCCACCCGGTAGGTCTAAATCTAAATGATACCAAAAGGAACAAGGCCATTCCTTCCACTTTTTCTGACCTTTGACCCCAATCGAAGCAGTAAATACCTCAACTTAGCAAAAATATTGAAGCATGTCCTTGTAACACTCACAAGACAATGCCGCGAACAACTCACTGCTTAGTAACGAACAGTAAATTTAAGCAACTGGAAGTTCCGATTCATATACGCTACCCTGTATACCGGTGATGACTTATAAACAAAATATTCTTTTATCTTTGCTCAAGAGTTTGCTCAAGTGTTTGCGGAAGGGAATTCGCTATCTAAGTACATGAAATCGACATTTAGCCATAAAAAGGGGTCGAGATTAAAATCAGAATTTGTTATCAATTTGTTAATGGGCGATAAAAATGAACGACATTGATTCAATTTGATCTTCGGGTAATCTGTTTGTATAGGAATATGATGTGATAGAGTTCTGTAAACTCACGCCTCATCACAAAATATTGCGAAATTAGCGATACCCACAGCGACAACAAAAGCTTTAAGAGATTGAATATATATACATGTGTGCCCGCCTATTGTGACAGCTATTTATATTGGGAACCGTGAAATCGTAACATAGTTACATCCAATGAATAAATATTCCTTATATAACCAGGTAAATATTTACATTTCAAATGCGAATTCGTAGCATGTGGTTTTTGAACGACGAACCAAATAGACTAAATGTGACTGAGATATTATATACAAGTTATATCTTGTAATTCTTGACGAAGCTAGACTATTATCTAACGAAAGCTCACAAATATACTTACTATTTCGTTGAAAGATATCATGCTATTTTTACTTATTTTGATGAAGTGACCAAAACAAATAATTTTTCCAGTTGATTCCATTCATAACAAAAAACATTGAAACGTAAAATGGCAACATCCCCAACTCATCATTAGTATAAGATTATTCTGACTAGTTACGCCACGATGAATCACTGGTTCCCAAACTTTTTTTGACCCTTTTATGCTCTGTCTGAAACTTGGACACATCTCTGAATAAGAGTCGCTACTTTGGTGTAGAAGTTGCCTCCCATAATAAGAATTCTTCTTATCAAACTACTGCCCAGATACTGCTTATTTGATACTTATCAGATAATTAAAGGCGAGTTGAATTGCTCGTTTATTTTCAAAGTTCATGACCCCCCATTACACTCCTGGTACCCCACTACCGTTGGTCTGAATCTAAATTATACCACAATGGACAAGGCTCTTACCTATTTCTGACCTTTGACCCCAATCAAAGCAGTAAATACTGCAACCAAGCAAAGATATTAAAGCAAGTTTCCCTAACGTTTACAAGGCAGTGCCGCGAACAAATGATGCCTGCTCAGAACGGCACGATAAATTTGAGCAACGGGAATTAAGGAATTACTCGTTTACCTCAGCCTGTGCAATGATGAATCACCGGTCTGATGACTCATACGCCGAATATCCTTTTGTCTTTTTTCAAGAAACAAAGGATAATGAAAGTGAACAATAATTATTCAAGTCGATATTATTACCTCATTATAAGTAAATAAAACTGACATTCTATCCGAGGCTCCACAAAGTTTGCAAATTTTGAATATTTTCATTTCTTTTTGTTTAGTTATTGCCGAGAGCTGTCCTTGCTTGGTTCTTTATTATCATCATCGTGAAGTATATTTATAAGTTCAACATCATGCTGTTAGTTCCCCGATTCTAGAGCCCCCATATAATCGTCAACATCTCAACGAACTTGGGAATCTTGGAACTTCATTGTTACGTAATGTGTTTACTATCTGTTATTAATAATATATTATTGTTGCTAGTTATTTTTGAGGTGGGGCGCGAGACTTGACATGTTTGAAAACCACGCAATATATAACCATTGAGTAAATGTGATGGGGAACTGCGTGCGAGCGTATTTTGGTGTGAAGTTGCCAAAACAAATAATCTTTATCAATTATTTCAGTCTCGAAATTAAACAAAAGATAACTATTTACATTGCATACCGTGAAATCGTAACATATTACCATTCAATAGATAACTGATTCTTGTGTAATCAGGGGGATGAACAAGAATTGAATAAGAAAACGTGTTATTGAAAATTGCGTGTGTATTTTGATGAAGTTGCCAAAACAAATGATCTTTCCAATTCGATAGCATTTTCGATATTTAGTTATGTGTCCTAATGTGAGTGAGAGAGTGTCAGAATACCATTGGGGGAATTGATTTACTTTAACAATGCGCACACGCCCCCCTCATTCCCGCCATTTTTGGGCACGAAATCTAGATCGTGTTGTTATTGTTAGAATTCTTGTTATTAATATGAAAAAATCGCTTTTCTCATCAATTACAAGATCGATTGCTTTGAAATTTTCAGTGGCTGAAAATTGTATTTTTTGCCAGAAGGCAGTTTTACTTCATTTATTTCAAAAATGTTTTGCATACCTATACCACTTCGGTTTGACATTCGGTATTTTTGGTATTATATTGGATTATTATATTTTATATTTTGGAATCATAGTTGATCATCTCTTCTGTTATATGCTGCAACAAAGGGTCGGCGTTTTCTAATAAACATGCCTGAACATTCCCGTTTCCTAAAGTAGTTTAATGATTATGATAATTGCCCGGTTACTCGCCAATTATATGCATTTCCCGCCAATTTTATCACATGATACGCGCGTAGCAATACCACTGAAATTTTCCGGCATGGTGACTGTATAACCAACCAAAAATGCAACAGAAAACTTCTTTTATATCTGAATGAATTTGTTTTCCCAAAAAATTAAATTCTGGACGTTTCTTTACTCTTGAGGGATTTAAACTTGCGCTATATGTCCACTGACTTGTTTTCTTTACTTCTGTTTATCGAGGGTTTGGTTGAGATAAAGATTATGATGTAACATAGCGTCTAGTACGATCGAGTTTTTATCGAGAATAATTTTAGTGGGACAGTTTCAACTCTCAAACAAACTTCCTGTCACCTGACCTTTGACCCAGAGACCAATAAATAAATAATACTGTTACAGCTTCCACTGTATATACACCAAGTATATAACAACTAACAGCAGGTAATAACAAAATCGAAATTTGTATTAAACGTAAATATAAATTTAGGGTGAAGATATGGCGACATATCCTGATCACAACTAACACTTGCTTATCGTTCAACGTCCAATGCTACTGCGCATAAATCTCAAACCTGTGCACTCAATTCAACCGTAACAAAACAAAACTGACTGAATGAATTTGATTGGTTGTTGGAACATAAATGTAAGGCTTACGTCACACGCAAACTTATACGATTCAATAATTGAGAAGACGGTGGCCAGTGTACTAAACAGTCTTTTCCTATTTGCTCATGATGCTAACGCGTTTATAACGAACGACGCAAATACTTCGGAGAATTAGTAAAATCAACAATAGATATTGGGTTATTCGGATAATAAAAACTTCAATAATGACTTTCAATATCTAAAAAAACGTCGTTTTCCGATATAATTTCCTAACCACAGCTCAAAAGGCAATATTAAAACAGTGAATGTAGGTAACTCCAAGGAGTTCCACTATAAAAGTTAGGCGATTGACCAACAAGACAAACGAGAATATCGGTCAGAGACCGAAGACTTATCGATCGAAAGTTAGGGGATCCCCAAAACAGCGCTCTTATGGGAGGCGCTCTGTGCAAGTTTCAGCGCTCTCCATAGTGACACCTTGATTCCCATCACTAAATAAATAATAACTTGCTAATTATACGA